TATTATTAAATAATATAACTAAAATATCTTTATATATTTTAAATTCTAATTAATTAATATAAATAAAATCAATAATTAATAATATTTAAAATATATTAATAAATAATAAAATAATATTTTTAAAAAATAATAAACTTAATTATACTTTTAATTTAAATATTATTTTTTATTATATTAACTAATCCTTTAAATTAATATTACCAATTTAGGATTAATTAAAAATATTTTTAAAAAACTAATTAATATTTTACTATAATAAAAATATAAAAAATATTTAACTTATTAATAATTTACATTAATAATTTCACTTTTTATTTTTAATACAAAAATAAAAATAGTATTTATTTCTATTTATTAAAAACTAATCAACTTTTTAATTATTATATAATATTCTTTTTCTAACGTAAAATTTAATTTATAAATAAATAATTACTAATTTAACCTTTATTTATACCCCTTAAAAATATATTAAAATAAATAACAATAAAATCACCATAATAACTTTAATAATATTCCATCTGTTCCACTTTAATATTTTAATTAATAAATTTTTCTACATATTTAAAATAATAAATAAATAAATTTCTTAACATTAAATCCTATCATTTATTAATTATAAATTATTTATTTTAATAATATAATTATAATACCATATTTTAATTTATATCCTCTTTTTACCAATATTTAATTATATTTTAACTATAATCTTTAAAAATATTAATTCCATATTCCTTAATAATAACTCTATTATAATTATACATTATCCTTAATTATATATCTTAATATCTTTTAATCTATAAATCTTATAATATTAATCACTATTCCTAACTATTTAATTTATAAATAACTTTATATTATATAATCATTTTTAATATTCTTTTAACATATTTTAACTATAACTATCTTATATTAATAAAAATATTTCTAATTAAATAATATTAATTTATAAAAAAATTTTTATAATAATTTAATAATAATTTATTTTAAATATTTAATAATTTTTAAAATTTTTATAATCCCCTTATTTTCTTATAAATCTTCCTAATAAATATTTAAAATTAATTTCTTAACTCTTAAAACTATTTTTACTAATTAACACTTAACAATTTTTTTAAAATTAAAATTATAAATTTAAATCCTGTAATAATTACCACTAAACAAAAATTAATATTTCCTATAAAATATAGTATATCATTTTAATATTTAAATTTTTATAAAAAACCCTAAATAACTAATAATAACACTATATTTTAGAAAAACTATAAAGATTTATTAATTAAATAAAATATATAAAATAAATATACAAAATAAAACCATAAATTATAAATATAAAAAAATAATAAATATATTTATATTAAATATATAATTAAATAATAATAATCATAACTATTTAATTAAAAAAATACAACAAATATTAAACCTTTATATGGCTTATAACCTAAAATTACATAATAATACCCTTATTCTTAGTAATATGGCACCACACCAATTCAATATAAATATATATATATAAAATTAATAAATATAATTATTTATAAAAGGTTAAAATAAAATTAATAATTTAAAAGGATTAATAAGCTTTAAAAATCAAAAAAATATACGTTTTAACGTTAATTAAAAGGTTTTTTAAAACCTTAATAATGATAATTATAAGATTTAATGTTAAATTAATTTAATATAATATTATAAATGCGTTTATAAATGTAAAATTTAAAAGAAATATTAAACAAGAGTTGGTATTTTTTATAAAGTATGGCATATCATTTCAACGTTTAAATCCTTGTAAAAGGCCTTAAACAGTTAATGATAGCATTATATTTTAAAAGAATTGTAAGGATCTACTAATCGGATAAAATATATAAAATAAATACGTAAAATAAAACTATAAATTATAAATATGGGAAAATAATAAATATATTTATATTAAATGTATAATTAAATAATAATAATTGTGGCTATTTAATCAAAAGAATACGACAAATATTAAACCTTTATATGGTTTATGATTTAAGATTACATAATAATACCCTTGTTTTTAACGATGTGGCACCACACCAGTTTAATATATTTATAAAAATATTATTAAACTATTAAAAAGGAAATAATATTTTCAAGTTATTTAAAATATTATATAAATTATAAAAATCCTTTTTATTATAGTAAAAAAAATTAATTAAGATTTTAAAAACCTTAAGTTTTAAGTTTATTTTTAAAAAATCTTATATATTTATTAAAAAAAAGATTTTATTATTTATTTATGTTAATAATATATTATAATATATTTTAAAGTTAAAAAAAAATAATATATTTTATTAAAAATTTTAAATAATATTATTAATTTATTAAAAATAATAATTTATAATAGTTTTTAAGTATTAAAATAATAAAGAATTAGGAAAAATAATTTATTTAATTAAATTAATTTATATATATTAATAAAATAATTAATTTTATAAAATTTTTAAATTAAGTTTTAAATATTTTAATAATTAAAAAAGAATTATTTCTTTATAAAAGGATAACTTTATTTAAAAATATTTATTATTATTAATAATATATAAGATTTATTTTATATATTATAATGATTATACGTTTAAATATAATTTTTACAGTTTTATAATTTTTATAATTTAATTATAACTTCGGTTTAAAATATTATAATATATTAAATTAAGTAATTTTATATTTTAAATATATATAAAGATATGTGTTATAATTAAAAAGGGATAATATTTTTAAAGCTGTAAGTAATGTTTTATTTATCGATAATATTTACGATTAAAAAAGTTTTTAAATATATGTAATAAAGTTATTTAAAGGTATAATAAATTAAAGGGTTAATAAATAAGATATAATAATTATATTTATTATAAAAGTTAAATTATTAACTTTATTATAAGCGGTAAAAAAGGTTATATTTATTATAAAATTAATTTACATTTTTAAGATTAATTTAAATTAATTTATTATTAAAATTAATTATAATAATAAATAAATAATTAAATTAATTAATAAAGATATTAAAAAATTAAAGATTAAATTAAAATATATGGATATATATAATTATTAAGTGCGTTAAAAGGTTTAATAAAGCCGTATTAAAATAAATTACGTTATTTTAAAAGATATAATTACGGATAAATTTATTAAAACTTTTATAAAAGATTTATACAAACGATTTAAAATTTAATTAATTTTAATAAATATTAAAGACTTTTTATAAATAAGGTAATTATAAAAATTAAATAGTAAAATAGTTATAAAATAAAAAATATATATTAATAATAATTAAAAATAATTAAAGGTTTTTTCCGGGTTAAAATTAAGTTATTAATAATTTAAATAATAAGAAAATATCGAAATATTTTAAATTAAATTAACTTATTAATTATATTTAAAGGAGTATATTAAATTAATTAACTATATTAAGTAATTTAAAAATCTTTAATCTTATATAAAATAACGGTGTAACACGCGTTCCCACGATTTTACCTCGATTAATTAAATTATCAGTAATATGATAAATTAAACCTCATATAACGCCTATTTAGTACGTATTAGTTATGTGACACTAGCCAAACTTTCAGTGGGTATATAAAAAGGAATGCGTATATACTTTGTGTTTGCTTGAATCGACGTATGTTAATACCTATAAACACTTGTAGTTGCGCGTTTGTGAACTCGGGCAGTATTTGCATGACCGTTCTGCTGTTAATAGGGTTAGATGCATATTTGAAGTCCTCGTCATCTTTTCAGCTGGTCCGTGGCAAAGTTGACTATAAGGTATGGACGGCATCGTCGGTAGGATCAATAACGGTATGATTTTTCGGTTTCTCGATATTTTTACAAGAGCAATACAAGGCTGGCAAGATATGTACCTATTTATCCTCTTGACTAGCAATGCTTTGTTAGAAAAGAGAGAATGGCCCGCGCAGTATTAGTTTAGCCAATCATATTTGCTATTCGTAGCTTTCAAGTCTGATTTCGCGAGAATGACGTTGAGCTCGCGTAGGTATTGTACATGCAGAATTATAGCGGGGCGCAGTTGAATGATATCTAATATTTTGCAGATGATTGGTGCTATTACTTATTGCACTTAGCGGAGGTTGTTGGTCCATAACGTCCAGAGTCTTTTTAATTGGTCTATTATTAGTTAGGTACCTGTTCGGTAGTCTATAGACTATAATTCCCCAAGCTGAACCTTATTCCAACAATGGGAATTTACTGAATTGAAGAGCCGATGAAGGGCCGGCGAGATCCTGCATTGGCCTAGATTCGTCAATGTATGCATCGCAGCCTGCTTCTTGCATGAGAGATTATTTGACATTGTTTGATTTTTTTGGTCATTTCCAAGGTTGAGACTTCATAATGCACCGTGCGCATGTCGGTACCTATGTATGCACGGCATACGTACCTTCTTATTACGACGAGGATATTTCTTTACCTCGTCAAATACTTGAGATAGAAGGTATTAGGCTAGCAAAGAAAGTGCAACATACGTTGTAAAGAGGTGTATAGTTTAGGTACCTATGTTAAGATGTGTTGTGTTATACTTTCGAATGCGCTTTCAATTTTAAGTAACAACCTTAAAATATTCTTATTTTCTATGTGTCTTTAATTTCAACTGTCAACTATCAACTGTCAAAACTTGTCACTTTCCAAGGCTAGTCCTAGCTGCATTAATTTTACTATTGGATGCGTGAAAAGTGAAAAGTGAGGGGAAGAAAGCATTCTGACAGACCGACTTACATAGCCTCTCGCTCAGGCCCACACTGTGCAGGAATTGCGGGACCGGGGAGTCGGGGGCTCTAGGTATGTAGGTGCTGTAAAAACGGTAAAGATAAGCTGTCCTATCACCCAAGGCCGTCACCTAAGGCCAACGGGGAGTCCCTCTGACACCCCCCAAGTTCTTACTTGTTAAACATCAACAACGAGCCCTCTAAAATACATTTATTGATGGAAACAAGCAACATATCACCACATACCATTCAAAACCCAAAATGCCTAGTTCCAACTCGTCAAACTCCTCGCAATCTCCTCCTTCAACAACTCGAACCCCTCGAACCCGAACAGGCTGTTGGGCTTGTCGAGATCGAAGTGTTAAATGCGATGGTACGTCTATTAAACCACTAACCCACTTGAGAAACTATGCCTGTTCTTGTAAGAGCTAAGCTATAGCCGAGTACAGAAGCTAAACCGCGTTGCCGGAGATGCCAAAAGACGAATCTAACTTGCCACTATGGTATTCGCCTCCAGTGGCTTGAAGATTCGGTCGCTCGTGGCATTCGTCATGGCCGCCAGGGAGTATGGCGCCCAAAACAGAAAGACGCCATCCGAGACGCATGCACGCCTACAGCACTTTTGGAAGGACGTTTTCAAGAATCTCCAGGCTCAGCAAAGTATCGCGCTAGGTCTAAAGGCGTTGTGTACTTCTTGAACACCTTCTCGAGGGATATCCAACTGTACTGGGATTCGCAAGGCTTCAGAGACATTCTTACTAATATAGCTCTACTTGAGGATGATCATGCAGAGGAAGACGATAGTATTGACCAGTTATTAGTTACTCAAGCTAGCGTTGAAGAACACCATAATCCTCATTTGTCTTGTTTATCTCAATATTGCGGCGGCGGCGGCGGCGGGTCCCGCGTATTTCCCTGGAAGTTGGCAGCACCCGTCGGAAGAAGCATCAGTTTCACTCATCAACTAGCCAGATTCGATGAGTTTATACCCCGGTATTATACTGAAGTCGTCTGCGCTAACGCTTCTCTGGTTGATGGCCGGCAGCATAATCCATTTCGATATCATATCGTTCCAATGGCATCGCATTCCAGTACTGTGTTCTCTGCTATGTTAGCAGTAAGTGCCGTCAAGATGGCGACAAAAGATCCTAAATTTCATCGTAGAGCTTTGGTGCATCGACACCGGGTGCTGGTGGACGTTAAACGTCTTCTGGAAAGCGACCATATCGATACAGCTAAATGTCTCGAGGCCCTCGTATCAGTTGTTATGCTATGTTGGTATGATGTGAGTCGCTTTCCTATTCCGACTTTCTGGCTGTAGCTCATAAAATGGATATTGCCAGATTAGCGACAATTGCAAATCAACTTGGATAAGTCACCTTGTAGGCATATTCGGGCTGTTGGATGTCTGTCTGGAAAAGAATATCCGTTCCGCCGATTACGAAGGAATACTGCACTTCAGCCAACAATACCTAATGTATCATCTAATTATGGCCAAAAGCACTCTCCACGTTGATGATGTGATACCATCATATAAACATATCCTATCGAAGCTCCTAGGAAGTCCGGCAACCACGCACAAGGGGCGCCACAATACAAACTACGCGGGCTTGGAAGGGCCCTATAACGCAGCGTCACGAACCATGTCGTCCGGTTATGGAAATGGAGATTCCACAGCACAGTTAGGTTTCCGCCTCGTAGGCCCTAGCTTTAACGATGAGCTGGACAAAATTGATACCCATCAAGGGTTTAGTAACCGCCTGCTTCTTATTATTAATGACATATGCGACCTGCGTGATGCTCAGAACTCCGATGAGTCAAACCACCAAGATGCCGATACGGAAGCATTAGAACGTAGGGTGGTTGAGATTCAGTTCAAGCTTGATACCCTTACACAGGTACCGCCGGAAAACATCCAAGTTTTGGAGGCTGGGACGAATCGTGATGTTCAGCTCGAGCCTGAAGAACTCCGGCGCAAGTTAGAGTTTATTACGATGACAGCAGATTCGAACAGGTTGGCTGCACTTCTTTTTCTCGACGAAACATGCGCCACCCATCTCCCTCATATTGTCCCGCAATGCCGAAAGAACCGCTCTGCCATCATCCAGAAAACCCTCTCCCATGTCAAACTCATCTGTGAGACGGGACCTATCACTGCCGCCCTTCCTATTTGGCCAGTATTTGTGGCCGGATGCATGGCCTCTACTGATGATGACCGCCTGCAAGTGATGGAGATATTTGACATGTTTCTGAGTCAGAAGAAATTCGGGGTAAGTCGATATACTACCTAATCATGGCCAGATATCCCCTTTGAGTACCGACGAGGCTGTCTGTTAACATTTATTTAGAGCCTGCCACCAGCGCTTACTGTCATCAAGATGGTCTGGCGCCAACGTGATTTAGGATCCGACGAAAACCCGCGAAAAATACTTCTCGCATCGTCTAGTGATTCTGCTGGGAGTTGCGATGGTAAGGGTGGTGGTCCCACATCGTCTACGAGTCGTAGGCAGCGAACACGATATCCTTGGGAACGTGCGATTTCAATGCTGGGGGGCTCATCCTTACTGAGCCTTACATAGTTGTGTGATTTATGCGGAAACTCGAGGAGTTCATGCTGCCGCTGAAACGATGGAATGATTTGTAGTTTTGTCGGACGACTTCAGTATGGGATGGGTTCATACTGGCTTTTTTTTTTTTTTTTTTTTTTGCTCTGGCAACTTTTGGATCGCCAATCTATCCATTGATTTTTTTTTCTCTAGCGGCATAGACATTTCGGTTAGCTAACTGGAGGCAGATGTAAAAGCGGGTTTATCGGCTGGCAGGCTGAGATAATCGTCTTGGTCAGGATTAAGGGTAATCTACTTAGCTCAATAAAATCCATTGTGGGTAGAAAGATATTCGTATTTCGTGAGGAAATCCAAATTGGTCGTCTTCGAATCCATGTTTCCACCTACTTATCGAGCCCAGGTTAGAGAATGCGGGGTATCTCTATTCCTTCGCGACATATTTGAAGTCTAGATACGACGAGCGAGCCTAACCTGGTCGTCGGTGATAGCAAAGAATCTAGTAACGGGCTTCGGGTCGCTGATGACGGAGTAATCGCCAGTCGAAGTACGCGGGCTGTGCGATTGCCAGGCTGAAACTAGGAGAACTCAAGTTTTTTGCTCTTGAAGCTCAACCCAGGTGTTGCGTTTCCCTGTATGGCATTGGGATAGCTATATTCCCAAAGATGGCCTCGCCTGGTCGCCTTGATGTTAGCCAAGGTCGAAACTCGAACCATCACGGTATGCACCAGCAATCAACAGCACGGCCCATCCTTGCCGTCGGAGCAACTGATTGCTTGTCTTTGCTAGCTACGACATCCGCAGGCATCTTACAAGCCAATTCTTCGTCGAATCAAAGCTAGGCCTTGGAAGTATCTCTTAACTTGAAAGTGCCAACTCTCTAGAAAGCTGCAATGGCGACACAGCCGACTCCTAGCTTTCCCATTAAATCCCTCTGATTAAAGATGATTTGCGATATTGAGATATACCTAGGTACTCGATAAAAGCCAAGTACGATGAATGTTTGTCAGTGCGGCATACAGCCTTCTTGATAGATTAGGCACTCTTAAAGGAAAGGTAGTCAAATTGATGTCCATCATGAGAAGTTGGGATCAACCGTACGCTTCGGAATGATAACTTTGAGACAAGAGCAGGAATAGAAGAGGGAAAGCATAATAAATATGGGTTTATGGTGATCATTACCTATGATCCACCAGGTATCGGATTTAAAAGCTTTGTCGAACAAGTTGGACGTCACATCATCATGGAAATAAGAAGGTGTAAAGATGCTAACATAAACTAGCCCCATTTGACTTTCTCCCGGGAATAAGGAATTGAAAGAACTGAAGGCTAAGCCGATAAATCATGAGAGCGGACTTGTTTCTGACTACTCAACTGCTCCATCACATCGTGGGGTCCACATTGCCACAGTTGCACCGCAATTGAAGGTCGAAGCGAGCTAATACATAGTGTGCGGGTTGCCCGTGCATTAGTGCTTCCTATGTATTAGTAAATGCCAGACAAACCCCACTATGTAGGTTAGTTCGAGATAGTTAATAGCCTAAGGACTAACCTAGGTTAATAGTATTCTCAGAGGACTTTGAGAAGTAGCTTAGACATTGTTGACAATGACAATACTAACCTAGGTTAGATTACTAACTACCTAGGTTAGGTACCTAGTTAAACCAAAGATCAAAAGGAACTCTTAAATATCTTTTTAGTTGCTTGTCAAAAGACACAAGTTATAAGGCGGTACTTGTAATTATCTTATCACATCTGCCGAAAACATGCTTTGAGATTCATAGGATAGTTAGGGATTCCGTCTTAATTCTACGGTTCCCGAAGAATGGTCAGTATCGCCGATAGAACAGTCCACTAAAAAGTCCTGATCCCTATTTTCTGGTACGTAAAGCCTGTCCGGATCCACCCCGTGAGGATCTCTGATACACTTCCGGCACAGTCGCACGACTTCTAGACTAGATGACGACGAATCCCTCCCTTTCTAGATATTAGCTTAGCACCTCCGGAACTCCTAATGTTGCCGCGGGTACGTAACGCAGACAAAGACCATCCTATCCAGGATCACGTCGTGACGACTTTATTGGTGGCTTTTCTCCCGACTCAAGAATACTGGTGGGATATTTAGGCTATCGCTGCGGTATTACATACCTGATATAGCAAATATATTGAAGGGACCTAGGATAATAATTATGTAATTCCCTCAGTACCTCGTATAACTCTACCAGCATTGGATAATATAAGCCAATCTAAGCGTAGGAAGATGTACCTCGCCATTAATCGAAGACTGATCAGTAAGTATACCTGAAATTGAGCTTCTCCTTGTCCGTCATATCAGAAAAGGCTTCTCGTGATTTCTCTTCTTCTGTCTGGGGCACCGGGGCGCCTCCTTGCAGCTTGTCACGTTTAGCGTTGTCCCAATAGCACGTAAAACCATAAGCTGCAATAGTCACGGCACTAATAATAAGCGATATCAGGAGTCCGATATACCCTTTGTGATATTCTGGGGCGTCATCGGCCCGGAATACTTGGGGGCCTAGGATGTTTCCTACACAGTACCCTAAAAAAAACATTGCATTCAGCGTAACCTTCTTAGTGTGCCCTGATGTGTTAGCCATGGGAAGAGAAGTGCACATAGTGTAAGGCGCCCAGTACGAATAGAAGGCATAGTAGGCACCCAGGAGACTAAGCTTGTTATCCGAAGGAAGTTTCCACAGCAATATCGCCGTAGTCATGGGAAAGAATATGGCAAAGACGATGAGAACGCATCGCCAACCAGGTAGACGGCTTGCGGTAACGTTCAAGATTATAGACCAAGTCGTAGCGATGACGCCGGTTGGTATTCCTAAGAGGGTGGTGTCTAAGGGACTAAAACCCATACCATTGACGATTATGGCCGCAAACGTGACCAGGCCGCCTGCAGAAAGATCCATGTCAGTATGGCTATCTAGTGGATTAGGGACGGGTTTGTTTTCTACCATTTGGGATATTGATAGCGCACGCAAATATGGAGATCAGCCAAGCTCTGGGTTCCATCAAGCACTCCTTGACCTGATACCATTTGATCTTCTTGTCCTCTATGCCGGTATTGCTTTTGCGGACCCGTTCCAGACAGACGTACTTCTGTCGATCCGTCAACCACCAGGCCTCGACTGGCGAGCTTGGTAGGAACGCGTAGAGGATCACTGCCCAGACGGTAGTAATACCCCCGAGGATATAGAATAGTAGTCTCCATGGGGCGACACTGGAGTTGCTATGGCCAACGCCGTACGAGAAGAGCCCCGTGACGACCGAAGACAAGGTATTGTACCAGATGGCGATCCTAATTGGTTGCTCGTCGATAGTCCACCACATAGCCGAAACCAAAGTACAGACGGGGAAGACTACAGCCTCAAAGATGCCCACTAGTACCGTCGTTAGCTTTGGATGCTTCTCCGTGGGTTCATTAAGGAGTATGGAATGACTGACTCAGAAAGCGAACGGATGCTAGACTCGCGAAATTGTTTGTTCCACCGGTAGCAAAAGTAAGACCCGCCCAAGCAAGGACCGTTGCGGCATAGAACGACCGAATCGGAAGCCTTTGGATCAGGACGTTACCAGGCCACTCCGCGATCAAGAAGCCAAAGTAGAAAATGGATCCGACCCAGGAGAATTGGTCACCGACCAAATGGGTATCCTCGCGCATGCCATAGATGGCCGCATTAGAGATTATGACTTTGTCTACCGCCGCTATGATTACTGAAAGGGCAAGCAGAGGCAGAATGATCAGATCGACTTTCCAAAGTACGCGTCGAGCTTCTTCTTTGGTGATCGGCTCGTTGACGATGGATGGGTCCAGGGAGGCGAGAAACTGAGCGGCGACGTCGGCGTCGCGTCCTAGTCCCACCAGGTCGTCGACTCCATGGCTTCCGGCCTCGGTTTCAGCGAGCACGGTCTCCTTCTGGTCGGTCTTGCTCTCGTTAGATTGATGCATGGTATGCGCTTGTAAACCGCGGGCTCTCTAACCGTGGATTCTACTGTTGGAGGTTTAGTTTAGTGACGCGTCGAGACAGTCTGCTACAGATCCTAGAAGATCTGGGGGGAAACGACTGTCAGGCTTAGGACTTGCAATGCGAATCGGAATGATAGCAGTAGTCGCAATCGTAACTATTACCTTTTTGTCCATATCAATCCCTTCTCAGCCCATGATATCCGAGGCGCCATTCCATGCCAATGTTTTACACGCGCTAGAACGATCACAGAGTTCAGCATCACACATCGAGAAACCCTCCGTGGTCCGAGCTTCCCAGCGTCAGCCGAAATAGTACGGCTCGGTTCTGAGAGAAGCTCGAGGCGACGAATGGGTGGCAGCGCCCAGATTCGGCATGTGACGTCTGATAACGAGAACCTGGTCTTAGGGCCGTGCAATGCCTCATTTTCATTTGCCCGAGCCAGGGGTGTTGACAGTATTGGCTGCGTACTGTGGAGAAAACTCCCGTCTAAAAGGAGTCGATGTAGCGGGGAGCTCTGGACAACTCCGATATATTCTTACTTAACGGTCCGAGATACCATTTTGACCAATAGGAACTACGAGAGGGCTTTGTGGGAGAGAGGAGCGGCCGCGTGCTAGGATCTGATGTAAGTAATTACATATGTATCTAGTCCATCCGCAGATCTAAGCGACATGTGTATGCCGTCGAGCACGATATCAGTTTCATGAACCCTAGTCTGTCCATTGTGCCATGACTGTTACCGACTCTCTGGGTCATATTGCTGCGGCTATGTCACCTTGTGAGCGCTTATTGGCTGGTTGTTTTTGACGTGATGTGGTCAGCTTCAGAATGAGAATAGCGCTGCCATAAACAATCAATTACATGCTATTCAAGTAGTTTCAAGTAGTTAGCTATCTTACTAGCAAATAATCCAGGACTTTTATGCTCATATGATATGAGTCTTGTATTATGAATAAATGCTACAATACTTTTGGTCGCGCATGGTACAGATGCCGGTTTAAAAACTACGACCTAAACACCAGAATATAAGCATCGCAATATAAATATCACAATGTCACTAAAGAGTACCTAAGGTAGGTATTCAATGAGGCTACCTACCTGTTACCTATCGTCAAATATAAGTTTGAGTTAGGGAAACAAATAACTATGCTATCACACGAAGAACTACGAGTCCGTTCAAGACCAAACCACTAATGTAACTCCCTGTTCCTAAATGTTTCAGTGGCCTAGGGGTAGCTAAGGGATTGCAATAGTTACTTATGTAACTATTATCACATCCGGATGGGCTCGGGCAAGCTCGGGAACGTCGGGGTCCGAATTTCTTAGGTATTCTCCGTGGGCCTAGCTACGCGGAGGAATATGTATTGTCCTTTTTACTTGGGAAAGGGGGTTGACATAGTACCTAGGTACCTCTTCTCATCATACATATGTTGTATAGTTAGCTATGCACGTAGTATCTCTGACAATTCTTGAGTGGTCGTGTCACCACGCCACGTCCCTGTTGGTTTGAGTTTGGTATCATCTTTCCACTGCCACTTCGCAATATTCTGCGACCCACGCTCCAAAATTTCCTTGACGAACTCTCCAAAGATTGGAAGCATCTTGAACCCATGACCCGAGTCTCCAGAGAGGATAATAAGCGAGGAATTGGTGTCCGGGACAAAATCAATGATGTAGTCGGAGTCTATCGTATCTGCAAACCAGCACAGGTGTTTGTCGATTAGTGGGCGGTTTGCAAATTGGGGAAACACCTCCTGTAGCAGTTTACGGACGTAGGCCTCATCATCCAATGGGATGAATTGAGAATCCTCTAGTTTCTCGTAGGGAAGTGATAATCCATTTTTGGTCAAGGCAAAATTAGTAAAGCCGCCCCCCATATGGCAGAATTTGAGCTTGTTGGTGGCATTGTCAGGCTCGAAAAAAAAGGCAAGGTCCCGAACATTAGTGACAGGTATGCCCCTGAGAGGCGAGGCCTCTTCAGGCGTTAGTTGGATGTGCACAACGCCCCAGCAACGGCCAGTAACCTGTGGCCCTAACTGAGGAATCAAACCCGGAACGTCAGCACCTAAAGCCAGTATGACCTTTTCTGCATTGTATATCTGGTTACCACGCGTCTTAACCCCGACACACACCCTTCTAGATGATATGGCGTCATAAACTAGTTCAGTCACTTCTCCATTGTCTCTACCGAGGACGAAATTGACGCCCAACTTAATACAGGCACTGTAAACAGCTTTTGATGCGTCTGCCGAATGAGCATATCCAGCCATTTTGTTAAAATAACCTGACCATCCTGCCGTGGGACCAGTGAACGCGGGTGCAACCTTCTTTATCTCTTCTGCACCGTGAACGGTTGAAACTTGCCCCTCAAATGCCGGATGTTCCCTGATTGAAGTGAGATAATTCGTAACCACATCCTTGGTTGCTTGCGTGGCGCTTTCTGAAGTCACATTTAAGAAACCAGTCTGGCGAAAATGAGGTTCGTACAACGGGTCAATCTGCCATTTGCGGATGGCTTTCTACGACGGCTAGTGCGTTAGTGAAAGGCCAGAGGGAGCACGTCGACGTTTGTCTACTTACTACAGCGAGATCCGTGTAGAAATTATCAGAATATTCAGCGCGGATGACTTTATTGAGGTCGTTGCCAGCAGAGAAACGACTCGGTATCACGTCATCTTTTTCGAGAACTGTAACTCTTGTATACCCAGACGAAGCTAGAGTGTAGGCGGTAGCGAGACCAAAACAGCCTCCACCAACGATCAACACGGACGGCTTGAGGGAATCTTGTGTAGTCATTGTAGCGAAGAGCAAGTAAGTGCTCGCAAGGAAATCGTGATGTTCGGAGTGTTTACAACTACGAAAGCTTCTTGTAATACTACTACGTTGCGGACATCGGCCTCATTTTTATAACCCTTCTCGTCGTTACGAAGTGGAAACGGGGTGTGCCGATCCACAAGAATAGGTCGCACGATAGATAATTCTGCCGCGACTTGACGTGACATGGAGACCCCTTTAGACTCTATGATAGTGGGTAACGCGGAGGACAAGAAACTTGGTTTCCCTCTACATTCTTCTAAATTTCTCTTAAATCTACGTTTAAGCGTGTTCTAATAAGCAGGTGTAGGTGAAACCGCTAAGGGCAGGGAGACAGGGGAGACTAGACGACACGAGACTACACGATGGAGGGTTACCACGGCCAGTTAGACAAGATAGGATAGGATAGGATAGGTGACTGGAGATTACTAGGGAATGCCAACTAGGGATTGCTAAGCTTCATGGATATACGTACTAAGGATATATTTGTACTAAAGGACTACACATGGCATTTAGGGGCTAGGGATTTCGTGCATATCGTACCTTAGGGAGGTAGGTATGTTACATACCTAGGTTAGCTAAATTATCAACCTGTGGGGTATATACGTACTAGCTCCGGGGTAATACATATACCATATACGGAATACATATGTGATATAGGATATATAGGATATACTAAAATATAATTAATACAATATAATATATAAGACACCTACATACCTACCTAGGTAGGTTAGGTATATACTTTATACTTTGTACTACATACCTACTATGTATAATATGAGTCCATCACGGAATGGAGAGCGGGTCCTGATTGGGCCCCGCCCGGATATTTTAGCGCCGTCGGCTTGACCTGCCTACTAATCTGTGTCCGTGATCCACATCCGTATCGGAGAAAGGCGGGGTTGAGTGGAAATAGGGAAATTGACCCACTTTCTAAAGTGACGGGGACTGTGGGGGGGGGGGGGGGCGGTGGGTACTACTAAATCTATAGCGTCTCTCTACAGCGTTTCTTTAGAAAGCTACCAAGTAAACCATCACCGGAAAATCGCCGGATTCTTTGTCTCGTCTCGAGAATAGTCTCGACTTATGCCATCCACGTGGGTAAATGGTAAATGGTAACTACAATAAATCAACCAACGAACTAAATTACTAAATCATCTACACCTGTGTTACCTAGATCGACACTTTGTTGTTCCGACTTTCCCAAGATTCACGATTCCTTATCTGGCTGCCATATGATGCAGCATTCACACTTCATATGACTTACACGCGCTACGTAACTAGTCATATATCATTCAAAGAAACCGTCTATCTCTTATGATATCGACTCAAAGTCTCAAACCCGAGTTCTCGAACTTGGTCTCGACTTTCTAAAATGGCTGCCGACGGTAGTCAGGGACCCTTGGGGTCAGATTCTAAATTGAGAATTAAGATTGCTATTGGTACGCCGCTACCTTAGCCAGTGGCTCCGAACAGAATGCTTAATCAAGCACAGATAGAGGCGGTACTTTCACTGATTGCCTGGGCATAATCGAGGGACGAGAAGATGATATTGTAGTGAAGATTCTGTCTCAGGACCCTTCTAATTACGACGATGCACCTATCGAAGGTATTAGGCGTATCCTTGAAAAGGCTACCGGAAAGAGTTTTCCTCGTAATGAGCCAATCGACACTTCTTTATTCGAAGATCTTAGCATCCGCATGGGTACTACGGTAGCAACGAATGCGCTGCTAGAACGCAAGGGCGAGAAGGTTGGTCTTCTTATCACAGAAGGGTTTGGGGACAGCTTAAAAATTGGCCTCCAATCACGGCCCAAGCTATTCGATTTGAACATTGTCCGCCCAGACGTGCTGTATGAGAAAGTCGTCGAGGTAGCTGAAAGAGTCACAGTCGAAGGCTACCAACAGAATCCATTCTATGAGGAAGAAGTCGCGGCGATCAGTAAGACGGCTGAGAGTGATCCGGATTTAGTTCAGGGCCTCAATGGCCAATATATCCGAATCCTCAAACCTCTGGACAAAGATCGCGTTAGAAGAGATCTGCAAGGTCTTTACGATGAGGGTATCCGCAGTATATGTGTTTGTCTCGCTCATTCATATACCTTCCAAGGTATTAAACTATAATAACGCTATTGATTAATGAGAAATTAACATTTATACCAGACCATGAACGAGCTGTCCGAGACATAGCTTCTGAGATTGGCTTCTCTCAGGTGACACTGTCTTGCCTCACCTTGCCCATGATCAAAATGATTTCGAGAGGTATGTCAGCTACTGCGGATGCTTATCTCACACCCGTCATACAGCAGTATATTTCGGGATTCCAGTCGGGCTTCACAGATAGATTGCAATCGTCTAATACGCGTTGCGCTTTCATGCAAAGCGATGGGGGTCTGGTAGATATAAGAAAGTGAGTTTACAGGTCATTTAAATCTTATAGATACAATAGACTGAGAACTGACGCCGCAAAGATTTAGTGGACTCCGCGCTGTTCTCTCGGGCCCGGCAGGAGGTGTCGTTGGCCACGCCGGCACTAGTTACGACCCGGAGGACAAAATACCTATTATCGGATTCGACATGGGTGGCACGAGCACTGATGTGTCTCGATTTGATGGTATATTCGAGCACACCTTCGAAAATATCACCGCAGGAATAAACATAATGGCGCCACAATTGGATATTAATACCGTTGCGGCTGGCGGAGGAAGTATTCTACATTGGAGACACGGTCTCTTTGCCGTAGGACCTGATTCGGCTGCCGCACACCCCGGTCCGGCTTGTTATCGCAAAGGTGGCCCGTTAGCTATTAGCGACGCAAACGCATTGACCGGTCGTCTTTTACCTGATTATTTCCCCAAGATCTTTGGGAAGAGCGAGAACGAGCCTTTAGATGTCGAGATTACTCGAAAGAAGTTCGCCGAGCTTGCTGCGCAAATCAACTCGGAGACTGGCCAGAACAAGACCCCTGAGGAGGTTGCTATGGGTTTTATTGATGTCGCTAACGAAACGATGGCGAAGCCGATACGCGCGTTAACAGAAGCCCGCGGATACGATACGTCGACTCATCATCTTGCTTGCTTTGGCGGTGCCGGAGGCCAACATGCTTGCGCTATCGCAACGTCGCTATCGATCACTAGAGTTATTATCCATCGTTACTCCTCTATCCTCTCTGCATATGGCATGGCACTCGCCGAACTTGTTCATGAAGCTCAAAAGCCTAGCTCCGGCGTCTTTACTACGACCGAGTCTGTTTTACCAACTGTTAACGAGCTGAAGGCGGAAGTAACTCAGGAACTTGAATTTGATGGGATTTCAAAGGATCGTATAAAATATGAAGTTTATCTGAACCTAAGGTATCAAGGAACTGATAATAGTCTCATGATCCTCGAGCCGGTCGATGGTGACTATATTGCAGAATTCACCCGCCAACATCAGCGTGAGTACTCGTTTACGTTCCCAGACAAGAACATACTTCTTGAAGATATCCGCGTCCGTGGTATTGGGGAGTCTATGGATAGTGCGAACGAGTCACCAAATCGCGAGCTTGCTTCCGTAGCGAAATTTAATGTCACTAACGCTGACGAGGATGGCAAGTCTCCCGTCTACTTTTCTGGATTCGGTTGGACAGATACACCTATCTACCTACTTGAGAAACTGAAGCCTGGATGCGTCATTCAAGGACCTGCTACTATCATCGACAACACCCAGACTATAATTGTAGAGCCTCTTGTCAAGGCAACAGTTCTTAGCCGCCATGTCATACTCGATCTCCCTTCTAAGAGGACTCAGACATTGAGTACCACGGTGATCGACCCTATCCGGTTGTCGATATTTGGACACAGATTTATGTCGATCGCAGAACAGATGGGAAGGACTTTCCAAAAGACATCGGTTTCCACTAACATCAAAGAACGCTTGGACTTTTCATGTGCCCTCTTCTCCCCTGACGGTCGTCTTGTTGCGAATGCGCCCCATGTTCCGGTTCATCTTGGGTCGATGGAGTACGCCGTTAGGTTCCAGAATGAGAGATATCGGGATACTCTTAAGCCAGGCGATATTCTCTGCAGTAATCACCCTATAGCTGGTGGCGTACATCTTCCGGATATCACAATTATGACACCGATATGGGATGCAGAAGGGAAAGACATCATCTTCTGGGTTGCTTCTCGAGGTCACCATCCCGACGTGGGCGGGATTAGTCCAGGCTCCATGCCGTCCAATAGTAAGTTCCTATATGAAGAGGGCGCTGCCACTATAAGCTACAAGATCGTTAGCGGTGGTATCTTCAACGAGAAAGAGACACGTCGGTTCCTGTATGACGAACCTTCGCAATATACAGGGTGCAGCGGATCTCGCAACTACAAGGACAACCTTTCCGATATGCGCGCCGCGATTGCGGCTAACAGAAAGGGTGCTAATTTGATTGACGCTCTTGTAAAAGAGTTCACCTTACCCGTTGTGCACAGATATATGAACGCGATAGCAGAAAACGCAGAGGTGGCGGTGAGGAACTATCTCCGCTCGGTAGCCAAAAGACTGAATGGCAAACCGATCTCATTCGAAGACTACATGGACGATGGATCGGCCATAGTTTTGCAGATCCAAATTGATGGCGAGACGGGAAACGCAGTATTCGATTTCACCGGCACGTCGGAAGAAACCCTCAACTGCCTCAACGCGCCAAAAGCAATTACTTATTCTGCGGTTATATACTCGCTTAGATGCCTCATTAATCAGGATATACCGTTGAACCAAGGCTGCATAGCTCCTATCGACATCATTCTTCCCGAAGGCACGATTCTCAACCCCTCCCCGTGGGCGGCGGTCTGTGCGGGTAATAGTATTACCTCTCAGCGGGTTACCGACGTGATACTAGGCGCTTTCCACGCGATGGCTGCGTCGCAAGGATGTGTAAACGTATTTGGGTTTGGTATAGGAGGCACGGACGATTCGGGCAACGAGGTACCGGGATTCGGTTATATCGAGACTATTGCCGGCGGCTCGGGAGCCGGACCGGCATGGCACGGAGCCTCTGGTGTGCACACGAATATGTCTAATACGCGGTGTGCGGACCCGGAGGTATACGAACTGCGTTACCCTGTGATCCTCCGGAGGTGGACGCTTAGAGAGGGTTCCGGAGGAGCTGGTAGATATCGTGGAGGTGATGGCTGTATCCGCGACGTCGAATTCCGGATCCCGCTCCACGTCTCCGTCCTCAGCGAGCGACGTGTAATGCGCCCGTACGGTTTAGAAGGCGGTGAACCGGGTGCTGTAGGTAAGAACCTCTACATCAAAAAGGAAGAGGGCGGCAAGGAACGGACTATCAACATCGGAGGCAAGATGGAGTTGGACGTGGTTCCCGGAGAGCGCGTTATCATCAACACGTAAGTTTGCTTCCATCTGCATACATCTTCGAAGAAAACTGATCGTTCCTATCTGTATAGTCCTGGTGGAGGAGGGTGGGGAACACCGGAACCCAACGGATCATCATTAGGAAAAGGGGGTTCGACTAATGGTGCTACGATGAACCAGTTTGAACTACGAGGAAGTGTCCATAATTGGACTCTGACTGCAGAGGGTATCTGAAAATTGTTTACGGTGGGTTGCTTTGGTGAGATCCATTGTCACGTCGTTTCTGGATCGATAGTAATTATTCTTTTACTTTGGACTTAGGGATCTGATGATATTGATCGTTTGTGGTATTTCACGCCGGCAATCAAGTTTATTCTGTGAGCTCTTAGCGCGTTAGGGTTTGTCTATGATGTTGGGTTGGATTGCGTTGCTATATCGTAAAGCATATATCGGAATAGTACTCTTGCCACTATCCTTGCTTTTCCTCCTTAACCTGACCACCTAACCCCTTGAAGGGCTATACCAATCTTCAGGAGAAGCCCCTTGAACATAACCCCGCACGCTCGTCATCTCTGCGGCTTATTCTTCCGAGATCCGTCGCTGCAGATCGACCTCTGATCATGCCATGTTAGTCATGTTTAAGAGGTTATTTTCTACCCGACCCATACATACTATAAATATCATCGCAGGAGATCATTACTATTATTTATGACAGGTAAGACAAGTCAGCAGACCCTCCTGCACTGCTTGTTCGATGTTGCAAGTTCGTCACGCCACGCAGACACCGCTTTGTTTAACGCCGAGACTTATAGAATTATGCAGCATATGCTTAACCACGCGTTATTAATATACGTGGGTTTTAATCCCTTGTTGGCTTCGGTCCGGATACCTACTAAAACGTACTTACTACCTAGTTATAGGGAAAATCTTATTCTGAGCATGGAGCTTTCAAGACAATTAGGTGTTTACGGAGTTATAATGCATGCGTACCGTACCGATATGACAGGGCTACCCAACCAATCAGTAAGTCACAATGCGAGATAGAGACTACCAGGCCGTCAACGATGCGTCCCACGCCAACCCTGATACCGAAAGGGGTGGATTATATCGAGCAACTATAGGACTCGTCAACGCCATAACCCACTTCACTAGACGGAATAGAATGGGCCGTCCCGATGAGCTCGAGGCTCTAGTATTTATAATCGCCGCCATTCCCTGACCGGCGCTTCTCTGTTTCGCCGCTGATATCAGCAGCAGGGACTTTCCGCATTACGCATCCAGCACGCCGATAACCGGAGATCGGTGAGTCCAAAGCGAACATTTCTAAGCCCCTTCTCGCAAGCAATAAGCTAGAGCGTGTAGTGGATACTTATATCCACTTGGGACTTCAGGGGGGGGAGAACATTAGTCTCTATCTATCTGCCAACCTAGCACATCAGCTTTGCTAAGTCTATTTACGACTTTCTCTTTCTTACGTCCACAGCTCCCTCAACTTATGCTTACACCCTAGAGAAAAGGGGGTATCTGCCATGCCAGACGAAGACGCAGACTACAAACGGCAGGTGGAAGAAGCCAACCAGACGCTCGTCGACGGGCTCGAGGCGCAGGTGAAGGTGGCGGAGAGAGGAGACGACGTGGAGGAGAACTCGTGGGAGCCGTTCTTGAACCAATTGAAAGGACTGGTCGCAGATGGAGAGCTTCTCGACGAGACACGCTCGGAAGTCGAAGGGTTCCGAGACAGTCTGCTGGGCCACGCCAGTGTGTTGTTTCAGTCTAGGGGTAGGGAGCTTGACGATGCTTTAAATACGCCTGTTAGGGACGACTGAGGCTGGAAGGAGAGGGGATTGGGGTAATAGGGAGTTGGAATTGGTTGGTTATGGTCAGGGGAAAATTGATGATTTGGAGAGGAAGTGGTTTATTAATGGGTTTATGATATATTCCTTTTTCTTAGCGGGTGGTCTTACCTGGTGTTTTAGTTGGGATGAATGATAATTCTGTTCTGGCGAAGCGGGATAATAGGAGTTGATTCGCTGTTTTGAAGCGCGTGCGATATTATATTATATCGAGCTACTTCATCTACTAACAAATTGAATGTACCTACATTTGGGCTAGAATGGCTGCAAGATACCTCATAAGAAGATAAGATATGCGGTTATATTAAAGCGACGAACAGGGGAAGTTTTGCAAGTTTACAATAGTTATAATATTCATGATGAATTGGCTAGAGAAGTGTATAGAATTAGGTACTTAGGTATTCACTTATTATCAAGGTATTTTCTTTTTATATTAGCAACCAGTATCAATATCAACATGGGGTATTTACGAATCTATTACAAAAACCCATGGCGTTTATAGTTCCATGCATCTAAAACTTACCTAGGTGTCAATTGATGTTAGTTTACGATGAGTTATGTTACGGGAAAGACATGGTCATCAAATATGCCGTAAATATTAATATAGATAAACAAGAGGCTTCCATTATTCTATTATACCATCCTCTTATTGATAGACTACTAAAAGATAATCATAAGCCCATGGGTATCATCCTATTTTTCCGGGATTCCTAACTCGGCTCTTTTACTTTGGACCTCTTCTACTGCACCCGCCGGATCCGTAGCCTCTGGGTGACGCAATTGCCAGGCAACACAGATCTCTAGGGCTTGAGCTAGCCATTTTCCAGGTTTGAGGCCCAACGCTTCGGTGAGTTGAGTGCCATCGATTAACCGTTTAAGCGACGGAGCTTCCATGACGTCCAGTTCTTGTAGGTGATCTAGGAACGCTTGCCATTTTCGTAGGAACTTATCCATGCTGACTGTGTAGTTGTTAGTAATGGGTCTGAAATGGGCCATAACAGATAATATCTCACCCGGGTCTTTCGACGCTGTACCTAAAACATTCATAACCTCGACCAGGAAAGCATACAAAACTTGTAACCTCCAGTGACCAGCTTTTGAATCCCAATGCCGGATCGCCATTCCGAACCTGTCTCTTTCTGCGATGAAGGGTGCCTTATCCGAAACAGCTGTCACAAGAGACATGATTTCCGCTCTGTTCTTATGAGCGGCAGTTGCAAGATCGCAGAGCTTGTTGGGTGCCTTGATACCTTCTCGAGCCGCTAGAGTTCCCAATGGCGGTGGCGCTTTTCCCTTGCCAGAACGCTTAGGGGTCTCAACATTCTCCCAGGGGCAGATGGCCGCTAGGACCCAGGCATAATAGGCGGCTTCGTCTGATCGCACAAGGACGTCGTAAATAGAACCAGGAGTCTTGTTCCGGCGAAGCGAGTCAAGACATTCATATACTGACTTCCAATTGGAGATATCTGGAGCTGGAATATCCGTCTTGGATGGATCTGTGAAAATAGTGTGGTAAAGCCCGAGATCGTTGATGTATTCTAAAGACTTGCGAGGATGGTTACCTATAGTACCTTATTAATAACTCAATCCTATGATGATACTAGAGATAAACTTGCCCGTAAGCATTTTCTGAAGCTCAATACCAACCCTCTCACGGCTGATCTTTAAACGTAAAGCGTCAAGGACGCGAGGGTCACCCATTACCTTCTCGGCAGTTGGGTCGATAGTAAACTCTAGGCGGCTAGCGAATCTAACTAGTCTGAGGACGCGGAGAGGATCATCCATGAAGGTCTGTAATGGCTCTAGCGGTGTTCTTATCAGCCGCGACTTCATATCAACCAGCCCAGTCGTGAAGTCCTCTACCTTGCCAGTGTTAAGATTGTAGAAAAGAGCGTTAACAGTGGCATCTCTTCGTAGTGCATCTTCTTCAGCGGTGCCAAATTCCATCTGGGGATTTCGGCTGTCTTCGGTGTAAGTCTCTTTGCGGAGATTCACAAAATCAACGTCATATCCGAAGAGCTTGATTGTCGTGGTCTCAAGATGTTTAGATTTTTCTGGATTTCGCGCAATCTTATGAAGGTTGCCAATATCCGATTCCTCTATGCTATGCTTGTTGACAATATCAGGCTGCTGGCATAGCTCACATAGCTTCAGTGCGAAGGCCTCTCCAGTCATCACGTTGATAGCCGTGTCAATATCATGAGATTCAATTCCCAAAAGTTTATCGCGAACCCAGCCGCCAGCCCATCGTAAAATGACCTGATCTTGGATAGTTCCCGACTTGTCTATGAATTTAGCAGCATCTAAAAGCAAGTCTTTAAGCTGGGCCTCCTTGGGGCTCAGTTCAATAGTGGTAGTCGCTGGCTGTGTTGCCATCTTTCTAATCTTCCGAGAAAGCGATTGAATCCCGGAGCTGTCACCTAGCACTTCCGATTTTCTCTTTACCATGAGGGACTGTAATATTAAGTGAAGGCGCGGCTTATATCTCCCATAGAAATTCGAGATGAAGTAAGATGATAGGCGAAAAAGAAAACGCATTGACCGCCGGATGAGTCAATAGGTATGTCAATAGGTATGTCAATAGGTATGTGATGTAACTCAAGATAAGTACTAGACACCGGACGGAACTGGTTATTACATAGAAGAGACGGCTTCGAGATGATTTAATTCCTACAAGATTGTTCACCACTTCTTGTAGATTTGAGATTTGTTTGAAGTTCATCATTTATCGGTTTTGAGCTTCATCCCACTAAAAATTGGTAGTGGGGCAGACGACAAAGTGGGAACTGACTCTTAGGTAGCTCTTAGGTACATTGGGTACATTAGGTACCTAGTCTTGACAGTGATAGCTGTGGCTGTCTGGCTGTCTGGCTGTCGGCCGTCAGCTTTGCCAAAAAACCACCTCGAATCCGATTGGCTTGTCAGTTTAGCGCACCGGCCAGTTTTCTCAAACATATACCCCTTTTACCCTTTTACCCCTTTACCCCATCTATTTCCAACTCTCAACTCTCAACTCTGAATTCAACTATCTTTACATCGTTGACTTCAACTTTACTCTACAAGTCGTACGAGAATGAATTGAGAAAGTCTTGGGTTAATTCTAATCCACTTGCCAGAAGTAGGTCACTTATCTCAGGAAAATAGTACAGCAATACATACACTGAGCGAAACTGACAAGATGTTACTGTATCCATAGCCTTTATCATGCTCAGATGCTTAAACCTCCTAAAGTCTCCAAGTTAGATTCTTATAGTCTTCGTCTGCTTATTTTTTAGGAACCCCTTTGAAGAGTCTCATCTACTAGCTTGGTCTTAGAATATATCATATGTCTTGTTGTTTGACAACTTATCGTAGTAAAGCCAACACAATCACCCCTTTCACTTCACTTCACTAGTAAGAATATGAAGATATCTTCTCAACTACTTCAATAGAGAGCATATCGATACTATCGCTATATTTTATTGATTACATACATATGTACCAGGAATCCATATAAATGTTCCGGTCTAAATAGGCAATCATACCGAATCACACCCTATCAATCCAGTAATTCCCCGATTCGGTTTTGAAACAATATCCCGATGCGGTCCAATCCGCAACCGTGAAGTTGAGCCTGCTATGTCGAAACTAAATAGAATTCTCAGTTGCGATTGGCTCCCTATCCAAGTGTCAAATAATCAATACTCTGTCCGGCTATCACGTTCCCGTGCAAACTGGGATTCACAGCCACACAAAGAACGAACATGACCCCATTCATACCAACGTCGCTATACGAAGTTTTTATGAGAGGTCTTCTCAAGCTTCAAAGTAGTCGGGCTCGTAAGAGATAATACTACCATTACCATGCCAAGCTTCTAGGAGTAGCACGGGAGGCAGCCCCCAGCGGAGACATGTTTGACTCAACATGATAGTGCTCAGTCCCTAGGACCAAGAGAGGCAAAGATGCGAGCAGATGTAAAATATGCAAAATATTCATTAACTAAAATGTCTATAAGAAGACTGCTCTGCGCTGAAGGATAATGGCTTTTCATCATCGCACATCAGTTCACCACCAACTTCTCATACCTCTTCCGTTCTCTCATACTAATTTCTTCCTGCCGGTCAGGTATCTTAACCATATATATATCCCTTTTCAAATACTTGACGATGCCTTCATTCAAAGCCCTCGTTACTCTCTGCATCATGGCCGCTGCCCAGCTAGCTGCTGGCCATGCAGTCATCACCGAAGCTACCGGTGACGCTGGTGGAACCGGAAGTGAGGAGTCCATTGTTAGATTCGCAGACAAAAGAGCAATAAACTAACATGAGTAACAGTGGCTCTAGGTGTCGACACTTCAACTCCCCGAGACGGAACCAGACGAAGGCCATTCCAGCAGGACAGCACTCGCTTCCGGGGCGACCAAGCCGACACTGTTGGCGAGACTATCGGCGCTGGCAACAATGACATCGAGCAGGGAACCCAGGCCATCATGGAGGAGACTGGCGACCAGCTTCCTCAAGTCACTGCCGGCGGCCAGCTCAAGATGACCCTTCATCAAGTTAATGCCGACGGTGCCGGTCCTTTCCAGTGCATGATCAACGACGACGGCACGGGAGAGGACTGGGAAGACATCGAAGTCACGCAATCTCCCCCGGGCGACGATTCGCGAGACCGTGATGGCAACGAGACGGATTTCCCTCTAGTCGCGGCTATTCCCCAGGATCAGGAGTGCACCGGGACTGTCGCCGGTCAGGACAATGCCTGTCTAGTCAGATGCCAGAACGGCGCTAGAGCTGGGCCTTTCGGTGGGGTCGTTCCGGTCCAGAGTAAGATGCCTCGGAATACCTACCTACCTAGGTACCCATTGATAATTAGCTGGCTGACGTTGTGTGCAGTATCCAACTCGACTTCAACTAATAATACACGCCGAAGCACCTCTCGCGTCACGAGGAAGAGCGCGATATTTTCTGCTTAGCTACTCTGTCTACGTCCAAGTAATCGTCCAGAGCAGAGTTTGGGGAAAGCTATTTGACGCTAATACGGGCCTGAGTCCTGCACGCTCATTCTTTGGGATTGGTATGGTCGTTCGGGGGCTTGAGATAGATAATCGTAGAGGTAGTAATAGACTGGTTGAAAGGGTATCCCTGATTTCGTGATGAGAAGAGGAAGTGGTTTCTGATATCCCGATTGGATGGTAGCTACGAAATTCTCTCGGACCCTTTGGGAATGATCAGAACAGGTAGCAGCGTAGTATTGGATGGTACAGGGGCTTGATGCCCGATGACGTGCAGCTGGAAGTTTACATCGTAAGCTTCAATGCCTTCCCATCCCTTCCTATGTCACAATCGTTTATTGTACCATACATTCTACAGAAGTTATCTAGATCTACCACGACAATCTATGATCCCTATTAATCAATCTATTAATTGCTATTTTATTTATTGGTTGGTCACTCAGTAATGCATATGCTTTATTACGCCATGTAGCCACAATCACAATAATTCATCAATAGAAATTGAAGAAGTTACTTCATGTCTCAGTTAAGACTCAACGCAGGGCTGCAGAATTCATGCATGCCTCCATAATAGCAAAGTCGGGAGAGGTCTAGACCTAAATAAAGCAAGATTACCTAGCTACAGACAAGTCAGTCAGTTATACTAATTACACAAATAACGCTTGCTTGCTGCCGGTCTACCGGTGACTAGCCGTAGGCATATCGTTGATAATATCTCCCCGCCTGCTCCCCGCCAAGTATATTAGATCTATTAGGAATAACTGGTCTTGTCGTTAGTAATAGACGTTAATGCTGTCGTTAAAGACCTAGTGTGCCAAGAATATGTGTTGATAATGGTCTCGATCGTTTGTCTACATAAGATAGGAAGTAATTAATATATCTAGCCGTATGTATAGCCATCCTAGCATATCCCTAAACAACGCTGATTGGTGCCCACGATTTAACTAGAAACGGCGGGGTAAATACTACGCTGTGTAGTACCTAAGGTAGTATAGCAATACCGTAACATCCGTTGCCATCGCTAAGTTCCGGTGTCTTGACTGACGTCATGGACTAGACGTCTTGAGGTAAACGTATAAACACTTATCTACATCAATATCCAATATCCATTGATACCAAATAGGGCCCAAGGAAAGAGACATCTTATAGTTTCCGTTCTGCGTCACACTACTTGCAAGTGACGAGTCTCGACTTACACAGCCACTGATAGGATAGACAGTCTGGTGACAAGCAATCGGGTGCTCCTTTGTCAATTACATATCTAGCCCTATTTCACATTGCGATAGGATCTGCAGGCTACCGTGGATACGAGCAAGTTGCTGACTTATACAAGTGAAAACCTACGGTGATTCTCTTGGACGATCCGAGCAATGGGTATTAGGGGTCCTACATACGACACCTTTGCATCTTAGAAATGGGTTCGTATCATATTGAAAGGATACTGTGATGAGAAAGGTATCTCTCGATTGGACGATATCACACTAAAGAACCCTTGCGACTCGTGACAGTAAAGCTAAGCCCCCTATAATGTGAGCTTAAAAAGAGATAACTGGCTATTGGACGGCTTCAAGCGTCTAGACTACATGCTGCACGAGAAAGGCTAGCTAGTTCCATCGGATCGTCGTTTCTATCCACCCCCGGAGCTCTTGGCCTTGAGCTCAATTGCTCTTGTCTGAGTCGTGATGCTCCCCATAGCTAGGATCACTAAGGATAGCTGCAGCATGACCAATAATAGATCCGGAGTCTCATAGCACAATGGACGGGAGGCAACCCAGTTACTACTTCCGGGAGATACCCTTTGTTGCTCTTAGCCAACTTCCTACGCTCTGGTATACCGGCATATGAGATAGATGAGGATGATGCTACGCCACATATCTTGCATAATCGTTTCAATAGATTATAGGAAAGATCAGGCGAGTTACGTACATGAAGCCAAGGCAGGCGAAGATTAGCAAACTCTACATGGTCCGATAGCATCAGTCCGGTCCTTCTAACCTACATGTAGTTGTATAAGAACTCCCTGGACCCCAGATATAAAGTATTCCAGGGACGCAAATCATCCAAAGATATACAATCTCGAACCTTCAAACTACCCTACATACTCGAAACATATATCGACCTACCAGCACCTACACGTTCCTCGTCGAAGGTACTTCTACCTCTTTGCTCTGAAACTATCTTATAAGCTAATTCATCCTACTTAGCTTGGGCGAACAGCACACCTATCCTACCCAAAGAGAACAAAATCCATCATGGCAGCAAACTACCAAACAAACGCAGCTCACTTGACCAACACTTTCTCCAACGAGCAACCCACAATCACAGAAAGGACAGGGTCGCGAGACTACTCCCACACCGACGAATGGGGTACGTAATTTTCCCGCATTCTCCCCCCTTTCGATTCCCACAAACACCTCCCTAAAGTACCTCCCATACTAACACCCACCCCCCAGACGCCTCCAAAACGCCCCCCTCGCGCTTCCAAAAGCGCAAAGGCAGCATCTACGCCACGCCCTCGTCCCGCGACGGCCACGTAGAGCGCAACCGCGACGCCGTCGAGGAGTTCCACAAGGCGCACTCGAAGCGCTGGTCCATGAGCAGTACCGCGTCGAGCCGTCGCGGCAGCCTGCCCGGCGGCAACAACAGCAACAGCAACAACAATCATAACACTACCGCTACCCATTCCACATCTACCAGCGACCAGCGCCGCAAAGCAAGCCAATAGGTGTGGTCGACGGCGTGGGCGCCGGTTATGCCGTAGAGCCGGGGCTGTCGTCGCGACGGCGGGGATGATGCTACGTATAGGGGTGGAGATGGAAATGAAGATGAAGACGAAAAAGGTAACGAAAAATGTACACGTATACACGAGAGTAGAGCAAGGGGGGTGGGTGCGTGGTTCGCCGGCCTATGCGGGGGCGAGAGCCCTGAGGACGAGCGCCGTGGTGGAAAGGAGTTGATGGGCCCTGGGATGATGTTCTTGGGAGGTGCAGTTGCTTCGCTGGCTTGTATTACATATATAGGGTATACCTAACCGCCTCCATTCCTGTTTTACTATTACTACTACTACTACTACTACTACAACTACTACCTTACTTTACCTTACGACTAGGTTACGACATGAGCACGACGAATATATGAAATTCTTTCAACCAACTCACTGGGAGATTTAATTTTGCAGTTTACATGCGTAGTTGGAAAGCTTGAATGTCCGTAAAGAAAATATATAAACGCACGCTTATGATCTATATTTTGATATGAACCACCTAATCTAGAGATATCGAATGCTTATAACTCCCCTTAGAAAAGACCCCCAACACACCGCTCTACACCAAAAAGTATACGAACACGTGAAATAATTATCTCTTATTACAACCATTACAACCATCTATCGCCTCTGAATGACTTCCCTCGCCTCTAGCCCCAGCCCTAGCCCCCTACCCTACCCCAAATAAACAAGCTCTACCTAGACAAATCCTAACGAGTCATGCCAGCAGTTCGTGCGGGCACTCCATCGACCCAAGTAGCAGCAATGACGTCCCAACCCTATGATAAGCTGAGCCGTCGATCTAAAGGCAGCAAGCAATTCAGCCGCCCTCGAAAGGGGAAAGGGGAAAAAGAAAAGGGGGGAGATGATAACGTCATCTAGCTGCGGGCATGACATACATAACCCCCAACGCTACGTCGTCTTCAATTTAGGGGCCAACGAAGTAGCCAATAGCACTGCCCCCCTAATCCAAACCAAGAAACCTTCAGCACCTACGCATCATGATCACCAGCATGTCAGCCTAGAGATAACTCACGTAGCAAGTATACTCAAACCGATGGGTGTTTAGTGAATTCATAGAGTACCTAGGTAGCTAGATAGGTGTAGGTACGTATGTAGGTATCTGTCTGCTTTGACTCTCGCACCGGGGAAAAAAAAGGAAGACCAAAAAACCCGTAGAAAAAAAAAAGGCGCGTTACAAACGGAATGCAACGCAATTTTGCATTGCTAGCCGCCCTATCCTTTCACCTATGCCAAATATCAAATGCCAAGTAACTAATTAAAAAAACGGGAACCATCCTAGAGGCCAGTTCGTGTCAGTCGTCATCCATGCCGTCGATATCGATGGCATCTGGGTTGCTAGGCACTGCGACCGCTTCTTTGGTTACTGTCCCTGCGAGTCCCGTGCTCGACGCCACAAATCCTGCCGGCGCTCGGGCCTGCCGCTCTAGCTGTTCCATTGCATCAGTAACTTCGGGGTCTCCGTTCGCTGTTTCTGATCCTGCTCGTGTTTGATTTGCACGTGCGATGGCTTGTGACGCGATGAAGTTCACATCGGTGTTGTACTGTGCTTGTACGCTGCGCTTGATACGTAACATTTCCTTGTACGTGTCCTCGTTGCCGTGCTGCACCTCGAACTGTTCCCACTTAGTCCAGAACGCCGGGTTGGTGCGCGGGTCGCAGAATTGGGATGCGTGTCCGTAAATGGCGCGGGCTCGGTCGATTTCGCCGAGGCGCTTCTCCATATCGGCGAACTTCAGACACATATCTCTCGCTTCTTCGTCTGGTAGAGCTGCGATGGCCCTTTCGTAGATTGGTCTCGTAGACGGTAATCCGAAATTAGACGCCGACTTGGTGATATAGAAGTTAAACATATCTGCTCGGTCTTCGTCTGAAACCGCGCGGGTCGCTCTCTCGTAGATACGCATGGCGTGTCTCGCTAAGCCTCTTTCCTCCTCGAGATTGCCGTACATGAGATATAATACTTTAGCAAATTTAGGCGGGCAATCTTCTACTGCCTGCTCAAAGAGATCTCGCAGTCGCTCAATTCCAATCTTTCTATCCACTGCTTTAGTTAAGTAGAGATTCCACAATTCGAAAGCCACCGGGTAACTAAAGAGGTCGAGCCCTCTTTCATATATCTTGAAGGATTCTTCGTAGTATTTGTGTTCCTCCATAAGAGTGGCATAGTTGACGACGGTTTGCGGTGTAGCGATCCGAAGCTCAAATATGCGTTCGTATACTTTCTTCGTCTCCTCCAGGGAGTTGACACTCTCAACGAGGTCGACGTAGAAACTCCAAAGCTTCCAGCTCTTGTGGACTCTTTGCTGCGGCGACAGGGTTTCATCGAAATAGTCCACAGTTGATCTCTTCGGAGCTTGCACGGCCTTGGCCATGATCTTGACAGCTTCGTCGAAGTTCTCGTTGCGAAGTTCCATCTCGGCCCACTCGATCCACATATCAGCCAATTCGGCAACCGATTTGAATGGGACCTTGACAGCCTTCTCCATAATGATACGCGCATTTCGTATATCACCGCCCTTTTCGTAAAATTTGGCGTAATTTGCCCATAATTGATGAAAAGGCCCAACGGCTTTCTTCGGACTGATCGCGGCAATGGCATCGGTATATGTCTGTACGACTTCGACCTTGTTGTCCCCCCAAAGCGCTACTCGTTTCTCCCATTCTGAAACGCTATTGGGGTTTTGTCGTAGTAATACATCATTCAAAAGGAATGGCCGTCGGTCCATGAGCTGCTCAAACCGCATCATGCGTATATCGAGATCAAAGTCGGCGTCATCATCGAGCGTGCCTTCATCCGCTCGCTGGGACGCCAACTCCATTAGCGCACCAATGATGGACTCTTCGAATTCTGCATAACTATCAAAGATCATGGTGAAATCTCGAACAGTCATGACGGTCGTGATTCCTTCTTCGTAAATGTCTCTCGCGCGTTCGAAACTCCCTCTCCTGACCCAATACGTAGCTAAGCCGTACCATAGTTTCCCTCTTTGGTCATCAAACCTGTCGATTCCACTCCTAATGATACACTCGACGTCGATGCCGGTCTCGTGGCCGGTCTCGACTTCGTTGGCATGGTCGATGAGTAGGTCAACCATCTCGCTCCAGAGCTCATAGTGGCCTTTGCTATGCTTGCTATTGAAGCGCGGGTTGTTAAGGATATCGATATATTTCTTCACGGCCTCGGTATAGAGACCGACTTGTATCAGGAGTTCGATAAAGTCTTCAGCATCCTCGGGGTGAACTTGCATATACCTTCGCCATATCTTCACCGCAGTTTCGCCTGAAGCTGAGTTCGCAAATGGTCTATATAGGGCCCATATCCGATTGTGCTGAGTTATAGGAAGGGCCCGGAGAGCTCGGTCGAATGTGCGCCGAGTAAAAGTAACGAGAGGCTGCTTAAGTAAGAATTTCAAGTACAATTCCCATATCTTTGGCATCTTGTTGAGTAAGACGAGGGCTCGCTCGAATAGGGCGTTGACCTTTTTATACTCGGAAGCAAAGACGGCGGCATTTAGTTTTATGACATGCTTCGTTCGAAATTGCAAGTACTATGGAATATTAGCATTATTAGCATTGGGACGTGTCGCGACGTGCAACTTGTGTAGGATTCGCTCACCATCTTCCAGAGCTTGTACGATCGCGGTAACTGCTGGCAAGCCCTCTCAAGAACGAAGGCTTGCTCCTGAATGGTGCCATGTTGGACTTTGAACTGAATGTAAGCGAGCCAAGGTTTCGTACTGCCCAGATCCCTTAAGATATCTTGCTCGTAGACGGCGTCTTCATCGGTCTAGGTAGACATGTTAGCCAATAATTTGAAGAATTACAAGGCTCTCGTAGCGATGACGCGATAGGCTGCTTACGATGAGGTGAAGGTCTGGCTGTCGGGCAGTTCGGAGACCATTGGTCGGGCCATTGGGCGGCATCTTGACCCTTTTAACCCGTCGATTGTCGTTGTGCGCGATCGCTCGCAGATAATCTCTGCTAATCGACGGTGTAGACGAGAGAGTCAGGGCATCGTCGTGGGAGATATTTGAAGGGGGGGGGGGGGCGACAAATTTCGACCTCTGGCGTCGTGAAAGGCGACCGTGACCGCGGCAGCTTTTGGAACTTATTTTTAAGGACGAGACAGGATTAGTACCAGTTTTATTTTTTCTGGATTCCAGAACCATGGGCCATAGCTACGCACTATGCAACAATGCAAAAAGACAAGGAGAATTAAGGACGCTAATATTTAATAAGCGGAGCATCGGTGCATTTATAAGAATAGTAAAAGAGCACAAAGGAGAATAAAGTCTTGGCATTTAGTAAAGCAGAAAACCAAAAGCTCCAGCCTCCAAAGCTGAAGTACCTACAAGTACCTAACCTACTGTAAATCCAGTTTATGTAACCAACCAATAATAAAGCGGAACTCAACTCCCGATAAGTCATCACAAGTCCAAGTCCAAGTCCAAGTCTAAGTCCAAGTTCAAAGCAACAACCTTTAACCCATTTCCAATTAGCTTTTCTTCCTCTCTCATTCTCTATTGTGCTATAGATAGACCCGCCATAAACCTTAACCTATCACATCCGACGATCAAAGCACAGTTAATAGATAATACGCCACCATGGCTGGAGCTGGGGTATGTCGACAACTCCCTACGAGTGTTAGCTATCTTTGCACTAGCGATGCGATGTTAACATGTCTTCCTAGGACCGAGAGGCCGTCTTCCCGACGCGGCAGTCGTTGGGTATTATGAAGGCGAAGCTCAAGGGAGCTGAGACAGGCCACAGTTTACTGAAGCGGAAGAGCGAGGCCCTTACCAAGTATATGAACCTCATCACCTCCACCACCGCCACCACCACCACCACCTTATCTTAACATATGCTAACGTATACATCTAGACGTTTCCGAGGTACTATATACTATACTACCATGACATTGACTTCCGACTGTTGCAGTAGTTGACCGAACCTACAGAAATCACACGGCGAATCGACGAGGCGAAGCGCAAGATGGGTAGGGTCATGCAAATTGCTGCTTTCTCCTTGGCCGAGGTCACCTACGCCGTAGGAGGTGATATCGGCTACCAAGTACAAGAGTCCGCCCGATCAGCGCGCTTCCGACTGCGCACTAAGCAAGACAACGTTTCCGGTGTCCTATTACCCGCGTTCGAGAGCTACTTGACGGAGGGCAACAACGACTTTGGCCTGACTGGCCTCGGCAAAGGTGGTCAACAGGTGCAGAGGTGTAGGGAGACCTATGCGCGTGCTGTAGAAACGCTAGTCGAGCTTGCTAGTCTTCAGACTGCCTTCGTGATTCTAGACGAAGTCATCAAGGTTGTGAACCGAAGAGGTGAGTTGAATACCGAGCACAGATGATATTTATAACGCAACCAAGCTAACTTTGTATAATTATAGTGAATGCCATGTAATCCAACCCACCCAAACTATGCTTAAGATACAAATTAACTAGCCGGCAGAGAACACGTTATCATCCCGAGAACAGAAAATACCATCAAGTGTAAGTACGACCCTCTTACTATTCGGAGCAGATGAACTGACATTAGCGCCAGACATCAACTCGGAGCTCGACGAGCTAGACAGAGAGGAGTTTTACAGGTTGAAGAAGGTCGCCGGCAAGAAGCAACGCGATACCGCCGCCGCGGATGCCGAGATGAAGGCCAAGAAGGAAGCCCAGGCCAAGGCCCAAGCGGAAGGTGGCCAAAAGGCACAGCCGAACGACTCGGGACCAGCAGATGTACTAGCTACCGAAGACGACGATATTATCTTTTAGTCTAGGTTATGAAGGGTATGGTTTTAGTACGGGCGAATTGGGGGGTTGTTTGGACCTGAACTGCAATGTTTGTCGTGCTGTCATTATATATTTGTATTCCTTATGATACCATCAGGCTAAATGACCTTGGGTTCCTATCTCGTAGTATACGTAGGTATTTAAGTGAACAGGCACCGCGTAATTCTCGATGTGCAAGATATACTAAATCGGCTTACTATCTCGACGTTCCTACGAACTACCGGCATCCACATCGAATGCAAAAGGGTATTAAACATGCGCTTATCACACAAACCTTCTCCCGCCTCGGACAGCGTAACCAATCCCACCTCCGCCTTACTGTCTCTGGTACGTAACTTTGATGAGCTTCTCGCCAAGCGCCATGCCCGCGGTATTCTCCTTCGCCGTGATAGCACCCGCCTCGGCCTCGTACTCGATAAACGCGATGCCCTTGCGGCCGGGGACCAGACGGACTTCGCGGAAGCCCTCGAAGCGGCCGAAGATGCCCGTGAGCGCCTCGATGTCGTGGTAGTCGTCGGGTAGGTTCTGCACGAACAGGATCTTGTTCGGAGGTAGGTACTCGTCCGGAACGACGGCGTTGGGCCCGGCGGACGGGCCGGTCGGCTTGAGCCCGCGCGCTGCCTTGGCCGGACGCGCTGCTTCGCCTGGAGCGGGCTGGGCGCCGGGACGCTTGAGGCGTTTCTGCTCCTCGGCTGCCTCGGCTGCTTTTTTCTTATCTATCATGACGGTAATATGTTAGCCTTTTTCCTCTCCTTCCTCCCCTATCATTTAAAATCCGATTGTCGAAAAAAGAAGTAACTTACCCTTCTCAGCCAACCTCCTCCGCTGATGAAGCTCAAACTCCTCCTTATTCCCCGTCTTCTTGACCGTAGCATCGCTGCGCGTGCGCGCAAGCGCAACCTGCATCGGCTTCTCGAAGAGCTCGAAGCCCTGAACCTCTTCTACAGCCTGAAGAGCCGACTCAGGGCGGTCGTAGACGATGAACGCCTGGCCCTTGGCCTTAAGGTTCCGCTTCGCAACGATGTCGATGATATTCCCGTACTCTGAGAATACGGCTGACAACGCCTCCTTGAGGGCCTCGAGCTTGACGCGCTCCTCGAGGTTCCGCACGTATACGCTGTGGCATTTGGGTTAGTCAAATCAGAACGGCGCGCGAGCGCAAAACACGACCTGGGGGGAACTTGTATGTGTCGGAGTGCAATGACACATACGTAGAAATGGACGGGCCTGAAGCCATCTTGTGTGGTGTATGAATTCTTCTCTAGGTGATATCAAGTAGAGAAAGTTATCACTTTGATAGAAGCGTTTTTACGACTTTGTAGATGTTTTGGGACAAAGCAAATCTCCATGGCGAGCTACAATTGATGTAACCTACCAGTTATGAGCTAAAAGCTTATCGATAATGCAATCAACACGTATAGTCTATAAAAATATACATACATGCATGTATTGAGTAAGTCCACTTATTTAACTGTCAGCTGCCAACAGCGAAACGTCTGTGGCAGCTTTAGCCCCTATTTTAGCAAGGCAGCTATGAAATACCTAGGTTAGGTAGATAGAAATCAAAATAACTGCTCACTTTTTCTTATTTACCTAGTTAGGCAGGTTAGGTACTGATAAGACATCAACTGTATCATTTTGCATAAATCATACCAGCTCCTTAAATATGAACGCACCAATTCGTTTATCGTATTTAAGGCTCTGATTATATGTAGGTATTTTCTGCATCATGGGTAAGTCTACCCTTCTAAGTCGTTCTATTATACAATCCATCAGATCGGCGTGCTCTATTCTAGCAATGTGCTAGACACGCAATCTACGGCCTTTAGCTTTTGTTCTCTCAACTATGGATATCTCTCGACCAGTATTTAAGCCGTCGTAACTTCCTCCTTGCTATTACTTTTCTCTTCAGCCGGCTGCTCTTTAACTGGCTCTTCTGTGGTGGGTTGCTTCTCTTCCGATAAGGGCTCTGGTTCTTCTAATGCTAGTTCGTTGCGCAGATCTGGCAGGAAACGATCTATTCGTTTCCACGTTTCAACCCATAAGTTCTCCTGTGATGGGTCCTTGCTTGGAGGAACAAGGTATCCGCTACTCGACATGAATAATAGTACATTTTTCAGATTCTCGGGGACTGCCTCCTCCTAAACATTGCATTAGTATACTTAAAGATGGGAAAGAAAACTATTGTCAGCTGCTTACCAAACTATCGCCTTGGCCACTATTCATCAACCTATCCATGATATCGATTATTTTCAGCCACAGATCCAGCATGCCATCCCACTTGGAGAGAAGCACGAGGTACTGCAGGAATGTCTTGCAAAGAAGAGACGCGACTTGCACCCTTGTTTCGCTCATGCCATCTCGATCGGAAGAATAGACTTCTGGCTTCAAGAGTCTCAAGATTAGAGGGAACAAGACCTCGCCAAAGATGGCAGTCCATTCTTCGTGGTCGCTACAGGTCAACTCGGGCGATAGGAGCGACCTCTGAAGTGACGAAAATGCTAGAGACCGTACTTCACGGCACGGATTAGTGCACTGTGTCGTTAGAGCTTTGAAGATAGGTAGCCAGTATGCCGACCATGCTGCAACGCAATTAGTAAGAAGCCATGCGTATATATAGAAACAGACCTACCCTCGCTATTCTCAAGATGTGATTGTTTCATCAAGTGAGGAATACGAGCCGTCATGCTAGAAATGAGATTAACGGCTTTTACGCCCCGCGAAACAACAGCATTATCACTAGAACTAGTTAGATAGTTAATAAAAAGCAAAGTAATGGAAAACGTACCTTGAGGTCTCCTTTTTCGGTGGTCGAGCGTTCCTCTGCCTCCTTTCGCCCTTCTGCTGCACAGTTGCGCCGACTTTAGCGGCGGTAGCATACTCATTAAGCAGGGCAATTGCAGCTTCGTAGTTATCCGCAATAATTGCTGACGGTGAACCTGACACTCCACCTTCGAGGATCTCGAAGACGGTAGAAGACGCATTGGGGTTACCAGCAAGGGTACGTAGAATGAGCCAGAAATCGGGTGAAGTCATAATCTCGCTTCGTAGAGGCCCTGGTTGATCGATGCAGAGCTTCAGACCTTGAAGAACTAACTGCGATGTTTTCACAAGGGTCTCTTTAGGGAAACTAGATATGGCGTGCAGCAGTACAGGTGCTCGTACAAAGTCGTGATCCTGGACTGTCAGCACGGGTACATCCTGGTTATCTTCGGGGTGTTACTTACATAGCTGGCCTTTAATACGCTGAATTGATAGAAAGCTGCTCGCGAAACGAGGATAGGGTGGTGTTGAGGAGAGTCACGCAATATCATCTGCAAAGCTTCTGCAACGGGCTTGCCGAGATGTTCAACCGTCTCGTTGTCTCTCAATGCAAGCACGGTACAAAATTCCAGGATGTATACTACTGCAGGGTCATAAGTAGGCTTCTTGGAAGGAGTTTTAGATCCACTGGTGGGCGAAGAAGGGAGACTCTCTGCTTTCACTGTGATGACAGGTACAGCCGAACTTTCGTCATCGGGAAGTTCGTCCAGAAGAGCTTCAAGAAGTGGTGATAAAGAATCTGCCGAAAGAGCCCTAGGTTGGGTTAGTAATGCGCAAACTACGGAGTCCTTGACAACCTACGAGATATTCGCGAAGACACTTTCTAGATCACAGGCTTTGATGCAATCAACTGTGCTTAACGAACTTTCGACCTCTTCAGCAGATGGTTCCGGTGGATCGTCAGCCGCATAGCTAGAGATATACGAAGTCAAGACCGACATGAGGCCTGTGTCGGCAGTTTTCGTCGCTCGGTCAATGACTTGAGAAGGGGTATGAAGTGGAATTTTAGGAAGATTTAGCTTCTCAAAATTTTTATTAAAGAACGAGGAGGGAATAAGAGAGTTGACGAATAGCTTCAACCAGATGCGGATAATCTAAACTGGTTAGCTTAACTCGAGTCAGGTTGTGCCAGAAACTTACATGTTGCCAACCCTTGCGGATGACTTCTTCGCTCCCCTTTACGACACGGAACAGGACGAGTGTAGCAAGCTGCGCTTTGAAGTCCCTGCCGAGCTTAACGGCGAGTTCGCTAACCATAACGCTATCGCTATCATCCGATACCTTAACTTCCGTGTTAAGAGCCGTACTTGATAAACCATCGGTATCTAACGTAGTCATATAGCTAAGATTCTGGATAATACGATCTAATGCTTCTGTGATACCATATCTGGACGCAATCTGCGCACATTGATCGAACCCGGTAACTACTCGGGAAAATACAGCATCATCAGTTGCAGACATGAATACGTACGATAATGTTGAGACGATCGGTTTCCAGGTTGTAGCAAACATATCGGCGTCGTAGATATTAGTATCACAAAGCACCAACGGGCCGGCGGATTCACTCTTGAGAAGTAGTTCTCGCCATGCATAGTCGAAGGCGTGCTGGTTATCGTGCTCATCTGGAAGAATAATCTCGTCGGACTTGATGGCTTCGAAAGTCAGTTCGAGGTATTCGGGAGGGAAATCCTTAGATCCATTAACGCCACGCAAGTTGCGTGCAAAATCTACGAGTTCCATGCGTTTCGAGCCCTTGAGCTTTGGACTGTGCTGGTCAACATTTAGCATGATGATAGCATACGTAAGAATGAACACAGCATCCTCGCTCGCGACAACATCAGAGCCTGAAGTTGCAAAGTACTTCTTCGCGAAGGCAGTCACTATTCGCTCGATAAGCGGTGACTCGCCAGGGAGTCGGAAACTCTCGAGAAGAAGTCTTACTGCTTCGTCGACACGCTTGCCAGAGAAATCGAAAAGATCCAAAAAGGCGTTGAGATATTCATCATTGCCCCTTTTCGATATAAATTCGCCAATGGCCGCTTTGGAGACTCGGGACGTACTTCGGAAAAATCGGGCAGTCGATGCTGGGTCATCAGTAATAATCTTTTGCTCCTTGAGATATCCTAAGCCCTCCTTTGGTTTTTCATTGAACTTAGTCGCGCCCTTAATGATAACCTTCTTCCTTCGTCTTTCTTCTCGGAGGGTCGCTTGATCTGGTAACCCATCTGAAACTGGCTCTTCGTCAAGACGATCGGCTATGGACTGAACGAAGCCAAGAAGTGCGTCTAGACAAAGGGGCGGTACGCTAGTTGTGCTCCACGTTGCA